AGCTCCGCCCCGAGCTATTGATAATTGATTTGGTACCAGATTAAAAATTATAGGAAGGTTAGTGGGCGGTGTATTAACTCCACCATTTCATGCTCTCTTCTTTCACTTTCACTCACCAATATATTGATCTCCCATCAAACAAACAAAAAAATTCTAACCCTACTTAAGCTGGTAATTTAGTAATTGTAAATCAAAGTGAGACATATATAAAAACCTAAGTTTTGAGGGTGCATGCACATAAGTATTTTCTTAACAAATAGAGAATTATCTGGTTAACGATTTCCCCAATAAGAAAATTGAGTAATCTGATCTCGCAACGATAAAACATTAACTATAAAATTTTAATCTGTTCACCAACCGTTAATCCGATAATCCATTACCAATAAGCCAATTTTGCGGTACATCCCTAACTCCTATTGCAAGATTAGGGGTATTTAAGTTTAGTTAGTCAAGTAAAAAATATGATTTTAAGATTGTCAATAGTTTGAAGATAGAATTAATATTGGGTAAATTTTAGGAATCACATAGTTTTAATATGAAATTACAATCTATCCCTATTTAGTTTGTAATTACATTAATCCCTTAAAAAGTAACACAAACCGGATACATAATATGTAACTTGGATACATTAAAGAGTATCTCGGATACATTATAACATAAACCGGATACATAATATGTAGCTCGAATACATTAAAAACTAGCTCGAATACATAATATGTAATTCAAATACATTAAAAACTAGCTCGGATACATTATAAAATAAACCGGATACATAATATGTAGTTCGGATATATTAAATACTGGCTCGGATACATTAAAGAAATAAGAGATTTTAGAGGTTTTTAGAAATAGAAAGGGATATTGGAAATAAGAAAAACATAAGACGTGTATTTCAGTAATTTTTCCTTAATATTACTCCCTTTATTTCATATTAACTAAATTTATGAGGTAAACACATATACTACAAAAATCAATCAAGGACATAATTTAAGCCATAATTTTCACTATTATGATAATCTTTTATGAAATCATAAATAAAACTCTGTAAGTATTGTATTTTATCTCATAGAAAATATAAAACTTTGATTAAAAAAAAAGGGAAAATTATGCGAAAAAGCAAACATATACTAGTTAATTAGCTAATATAACTATAGTTTGAATTAGTTACGGCTCACAACTTAATTTTTAACTTTAATTATGTTACCTGTCCTCTTTTATACATATACAAACACAAATTATACATACATATACAATTACATGACATATAATAAATACAATTAGCCTCTCTCCACTCTCTGACCTTTCTCGCCAGCCTCTCTCCGCTCTTTCCCAATCTCGCTCGTCTCTCTCCTCCCTCTCCCAATCTCGCTCGTCAGATATACAAATATACATATATATATATATACAGTTTGCCTCTCTCCACTCTCTACCCTTTCTCGCTCACCTCTCTCCTCCCTCTCCAAATCTCGCTCGCTAGATATACAAATACATATGTATACTAGTTACATATATACAATTATTTGAGAGATATACATATACAATTCGTCTCTCTCCACTCTTTGCCCTCTCTCGCCCAATCTCGCCACTCTCCTACCTATAACATGTAGTTACGAATCGTAATTAGCAAACTATAATTATAGAGCATAATTAAACTATTTTTGAATGGCTATATGCGAAAGTTGCCCTAAAGAAAATGACATATATGAAAAAAATTCGAACATTCATCTTAAACTTTGAATAGTTCAATTATTTTAAACAATTAAAAAATCTAAAAAAAATCAATTAATACTCTCTCTATTTCAAAATAAGTGAATTCTTGAGAAAATGTACACCTATTATGAAAAAGAGTTTAGAATATAAAATAAACACCACTTTTTAGTTTTACCCTTTTAGATATTCTTAAACTATTATTGGAAATATAAATAATTTAAAGTAAAATTATAAATATGAGCAATTAACTCTCTTGAAATTACTTGCCACCTAGAAAATATAAATAAGAGGCAAAAATGAAAAAAAAATTCGACAAAACTCTAGAACTTTGAATAATTATTTATTTTGAACTATATGAAAAAAGACTTGACACTAAATTTAGAAGTGTGTTCAATAATTCTCTCAAGTAAAACTTGATTTGTGAATTCTATTGGAAATCAGTTCAGACAATTCGATTAGCAAAGAGAAAAATAAATTGATTGATGAAGAGGCTTTGTAGTTTAATGTTTATTTAAGTATTATGGACACTCAGACACTCTTGTAGGATGCCAGATTCACTCACTGCTTCACTGGGATATCTATGTGTACACATGAACCTCCATGGGTTATTAATTAACTGTCAAACATTTTGTGGTAAGACAAAGGTAAGGAGTTACAGGATTAGAATCTTTATCTCCAAAAAGAAGAGAAGAGGTTATAAAATCAGAATATCTTGCCTTCCATTCGGATCCAGCTTGCGCGCTCCTCATGGTCAAAGTTATATTGTGGTTTTGCCTCCTCTTAATTTTAACTTTAAACCTCATGATTCTCAACCTACTTCATTGATAACTAAGCCACTCCCTTGGGTGCCCTCCCATATCCTTTTTCACGAGCCAATGCATCCTATCCGGCTGTTACGAGCAACATATCTCATTTTGGCTAAGTATGAAGGTAATAATTCATTATTTGGTTTTTTAAATTTTTGATGGAGAGCTTGACAATTTTCTTCTGTACTGTTGTCATTACATCAAGGGCATGCTAGCAACTCTCTTGAAGTCCAAGTTTTTTCTTCCTTTGTGGTGTGATTTATCATATTCTACTTGTTATGATGGTCAGTAAAGCCTGAGTCATAATGCAAATTATTTAGTTAGGTGGCTTTGTGGGTGAGTACTTTCTTGGGCATGTTGAAGACTGACTGAAAATTATTTCTGTCGTTCTTGAAAGAATATCTACACATCTATTCTTTTATATATATTATGTACACTCAAGTTCTTACTAAAACATACAGAACATCGTTTGTAGGTAAATCTCTTCATATTGTTCTCAAGGCAAGACTGAAGAAAAGAAGTCCAGTAGAAGCAAGGGTGAAGGGAAATCAAGAACGAGAGATACAGGAATCAAGGATTCTGCTCCTATATAGAGAGAACACCAGACGAACAAGTATAGAGTAAAGCATCAGTCTCAAGCAGAATGTGGCATGATGCGCAAACCAGTTTACAAGAAGGCCATTGGATATGGGAAGGTTGCGAGGGCCTACATTGCAATTTGGTAGAGAAATTACTGTATTAGCAGTGTAGTGGAATTACTGTATTAGCAGTCATTAGTTCTTGTTTTCTCTTAAATTTGTTTATATGTTGAAGTATATGAAAAATAAGCAACTGATTCTGCTTCACAAGTTTACTTTATGTACTTTGAAGATTGCTTAAGGTTTCTAATCCCAATTGCATACCCTTAGCTACTATATTAATTAAATATCCAACTTCTAAAAACCTTTGTTTTGAGGATAATAATCTCGTAATATTCTTTAACTGTCTAAGAGGTTTTAAGTGGACGAAGTATGTACTAGTAGTCAAAGAAGAATTGCCTCGAGAACAATATGAACAGAAAACCTAAGAATGGTGTTTTGTATGCTTTAGTGCAATGAACAAATTGATATATCCTTAGTTGTGTATCATAACTATCTATTGGCAGGTACTTTGCAGCTTGATACATCCTAGTCATGATTCTGTAGGTAGCAACTAAGGTCCAAGAGGATCATACGATATCTTCAAAAATCACTTGCAAAATATTTGCATCGAGAAAGGTTAATAGTCTAGAGGCAGTTGGTGAAATAAGAATAGTCAAAAACTTGATTTGACATAATACAAAAACTAGCAAAACTTGCAAGAACAAACTTTGATGGACTAAGCAAACTGACCTACCTAACTAAATAATTTTCAATCAATTTTCAACATTCGCAAGAAAGTACTCAGAGCAAGCATTATGACTCGAGGCTTTACTGGCCATAAAAAACAAATAGAATATGATAAATCACACCACAAAGGAAGAAAAAACCTGGACTTTAAGAGAAATGCTAGAATAGCCTTGTTGCAATGACAATAGTACAGAAAGGAATTGTCAAGCTCTCCCTAAAATTTTAAATACCAAATGATGGATAATTAACTTCATACTCAGCCAAAAATGACATACATTGCTAGCAGCAGCTGGATAGGATGCATTGGCTGGTGAAAAAGGGTATGGAAGGTACCCAAGGGTATGGCTTAAGGATTGAAGTAGGTTGAGAACCATGAGGTCTAAGATTAGTGGATAGAGTTACCCATGAGGAGCGCAAGCTGGACCCAGATGGAAGGCAAGATATTTTGATTTTATAACCTCTTCTCTTCTTTTTGGAGATAAAGATTCTAATATTGTAACTCTTATCTTTGTCTTACCACAAAATGTTTGACAGATGCCTCAACCCATGGAGATTCATGTGTACAATGTTTGCATAAACATACATCCGATTATTACGTTATCCATGGTACACATAGATCCCAATGAACACATCAAATTGTTCTATGTATATATGTGTAGGTATATATACACACACACACAAACTCAGAGATTCAAACATACATAACAAGGCGCAAAATTGACAAACTACATAATTACTAAAACTCCAACACATCTAGGCCTGCGCAAAGTTGAACACTGCTATATGTTTTCATTTTCTGCTTATTGATGTCCAACACATCTCCCACATACCACATCTTCATAATATTGATTAAATAAAAAGCTTAGTTTTTACAGACAAATCTCAACAACACTCACACAGAAATAGTAACTTGTGTTAACATAACATCAAATTCAACAGCATAGGCTCAAAACGAAAGCAAATAATACTCAATTTAATATCTAATAGAGTAATGGTAATGAAATGTCTACCTGTGCTACTTTGGTTTTGCAATACTCTGCAAAAGTTGGAGATTATGCTACGAACTCAACATGAAAAAAACGCCCAATAAGCCTTTGATAACTAGATCTTCCATTATCCTGTCACAGATGACTCTCGTCCTACCACATTGAAATCAAATTAATTAGATTTAGAGAAAGGGGCTGAATGAGAAGGGCGAAAGTCATCTGCGACAGGACTAACGGAAGATGTGAACATCAAAGGCATCGGAGCGATTGGGAGGAACCTAAAAGTTGCCAGAACTCCAAAATAGAATTTGTAGGGTTAGTAAAGACGAAGAGTACTCACTGCTCAAACAAAAAGTATATCAACCCGTTGGAGGTTTCCCAAAAGAAGATAAAAAGGGGATTTTACTAAGGGCATGTTTGGAAGGACACTCTGGTAATTGGATTTGGCGTAATTGGTGTAATTACAATGTCTTGTCCTGTTTGGAAGGACAGGTAATTACTTGGTCAGCAGGTAATTAGTGTAATTGACAGAGGGTAATTACACTCTACAATTCACAGGGCAGAGACTGTGAATTGCTGGTAATTACATGGTGTAATTACCACCTGATTACTTTTTAATTTTTTTTATTTCTATTTTAATTTTTTTACTTCTATTATTTTAAGTTTTTTTTTAATTTTATTATTCTAAAAATTTGTAAAAGTTTATTTTTTGTTTTATATTATTATATTTAATTTTCTTCTTATTCTCAACCTTACTTTATGTGATTCTATGTAATTTTTTCGTATTATCTATTTCTTTATGCCATGCTTATTTTCTCATTAGCATAATTTTATTATATAAGAGTATTATGTTAAATTTTTTGTTTTGAATTTATAACCTATGTTATATTTTCAGTTTCATTTGTTTTAGTAATATTGAATCTACATTGCACGTCATTTTTTTAATTAGAGTTGATAGATTATATTTTTGTCAAACATTTAATAATTTATGACATTTTATTTATATATTATTCTTTTTATCAAACATGCATTTCACGATGTTCGTAGAAACTTCATACTTTTAGTTGTTATGATCAATTCAATTGAAATATATTAATTTGAAAAAATATAAATCAATTATTTTTCATAATATTAGTTACAGAAAATATGTTTATTAATTAATATATTTTCAAAAAAGAATATATATCTTAAATATTTAATTTAATGTCATTTATAAAGTTTCTTATTTGTCTAGTATAAATTTTAAATAATTAATTTTTATTTTAAAATTTTATTATAATTTTATGATTGCAATTGTGCATCCAAACAGAACATGTGTAATTACACTGTGACATCCAAACAGGACATGTGTAATTACACTGTGGCAACCAAACAGGTCAGTGTAATTACTAGGCTGGTAATTACTATCCTAGTAATTACACCAATTCCAATTAACAAGTGACTTTCCAAACAAACCCTAAATAGAGGAAAAAAGAAGAAGGCGTCTTTTTCTCCACTTCTTTTGCTTTTCTCTTTTTCTTTGGCAAGTCCAAATTCCAGTTTTTTTACCATCCAGTTGGTTCAGTCCCTCTTTAATCTGCTGCCATTTATTACATAATGATCTAAGGATCAATAATTATTTAATCAAAATAACCTCTTAAACCATAATTAAGCTACAATATCTTTTTGGCTTACCTTACCGCTGAATTCTCAAGATAGAAAAGAAATCCGAGAGGGTCGCTGAAATTTTTTCTGCTAATTTCTAAGTCGAAAAAATTGTTGAGGCAATTATCTTTTGCTGGAAAAAAGATTTGCTTACCATGGACAATATCTGTTCAAGAGAGAAAAATACAAGACTCAACAAACAGAGAAGATTAAATCATTTACTAGTGACAACAACAGAAGATCAAAAAGATCAAGAAAAGTCAGTTGGTGAATATATTTTTTTCTCGGCAAGAAGAGACAACACAAAAGCAGGTTTGTTATTCGTTGTTCTTACTCTCTTCTTGTAGTTGCAACTTTCAGTGTGAAAAAGTATACGCAATGTGTTCGATAAAATGTCTCAGTTAGATCTTATGGGTATATTATGTAAAAATGAAATTCCGAAAATGTGAGTATTTAATATTCTTAAGCACACAGCATAAATTTAATAAAGTTCACAAACATTTTCTAACAATGGTTGCCTGTGAAGTTACAACTTGAAGTTGTTGGAATATCAAAGTAGCATGTCACTTTGAAGTTGTCAGAAATCAACAACATATTTAGTGTAATCTCATAAGTAGGGTATGTGAAGAATAGCGTGTACGCAAATCTTACTCTTATCTAAAAAGGGAGAAAGGTTATTCCCAAAATTGAAGAAGCCATAGTTAATACTAAAAGAACATGATAAAGCATTCTTAAAAGAAACAATAACAAGCTTGATAATTGGTGGGATTGAAATTATAACCTTTGATTTTTGTGTCTTTGACGTGATGGAGAGGAGTTGTATGGCTATAATGTGTGTTACTTTTACTTAAGGTAAGGTAAATATGATGGTAGAAAAATTCTAGTTGAGATTTATTAGATAGGTTGGGATAAGTAAGAAATAAGAATAACATGTTGTTAGAATTATGTTTGTTTGTACTATGTATGTGAAGTTCAAGTGTTCAACCATGTAGACTTGCAAAATCAATTGAATTGAAGTTGTCGAAAATCACTAATTTCATATGCCCTCTGAAATTAGCCTAGTTTTGAAAGTGACCTCAGAGCTCCTACTATGTATTTCAGTTATTTACTCTACTCTGTTTTTTGTTGTTGTGAACTAATAAGAGTTTTTGTATATTATTCTACATATTTTTCTAAGTTGGATTCACTCCATGTTTCTTGTTAGCCAAAACAATTCCCGCCAAGTATATACAAAACATGATGCCTAGGTTTTCTTTCTATTCACTCCTTGAAATTAGAATCATGTATAGTCTCATCTCACATATTATTCCCCCATAAATGTTATGTAATATATTATTCAAATTGGTTTTATAATCAATTTTCTTAAATTTAAGATTGCATTTCTCTTTAGCTTTAAGATTATCGATTATTTATCTTATATATACTCTTTGTATTTTAGATTTATGGAGATTGGATCTAGTGAGTCTCAAAGTGAATGTAATTTGTCAATAAAACTTGGAATGGAATTCGATTCGGATGAGCATGCATATGATTACTATAATGAATACGCTAGTGCAATTGGTTTTAGCATAAGGAAAGAATATGGCTAACAAAAACAAAGCCCAAGGGTATGTGACTTCAAGAAAGTTTACATGTTATAAAGAAGGGTATAGAAACAAAATCAAATGAGATATGGTGGTTCAAAAACATAAGCAGGAAACCTAGAACGGGGTGCTTAGCTCATATTATTATTAATCGTCAATTAAATGAAATTTTCGCATCACTTCATTTGAAGAGAAACATAATCATCCTCTTGTTTCTCCTTCTTTGGCTCATTTGTTACCCTCACAAAGAAAGATAAAAGTTGCTCAAGCATATGAAATTGACTTATTAGATGATTCAGGAATACGTCCTAAAGCTTCATTTGATTATGCTGCTCGTCAAGTTAGAGGAGAATCTTTTCTAGGTTACACAAAGAGAGATCAAAAGAATTATCTTCGGGATAAAAGAAAAGAAAGCTTGAAACATGGAGTGGCTCGTAGTTTGGTAGACTATTTTGAGAAAAGAATACTTGAAGATCTTGCTTTTCGGTAGTCTTTACAATTAGATGATGATGGTTTGATAACTAATGAATTCTGGGCCGATGGAAAGATGATAAGAGATTATAAGATTTATGGAGATATTGTTTCCTTTGATACAACATATAGAACAAATAAAGAGTATCGACCTTTGGCATTGTTTGTTGGTTTGAATAATAATAGGGAAATGGTTATATTTGGTGCAGCCCTTTTATATGAAGAATCAACTGAATCATTTGAATGGCTTTTTAATATATTCTTTAGGATTATGTCTGCAGATAAACCACAAACATTTTTTACTGATCAAGATCCTGCTATATCTTCTGTTATCTCATTAGTAATGCCACAGGCGTATCATCGCCTTTGTGTATGGTACTTGGAAAAGAATGTGTTTAAACATCTTAGTCATATTTTTAGAGATAATGCATCGTTTCCAAAAGATTTTAGCAAATTGCTTTATGATTATGAGTATGAAGAGGATTTCTTAAGTGCATGGCAGGAAATGCTTGACAAATATGATCTTGCGGATAACAGCTGGCTGAAAACCACATTTGCTATAAGAGAGAAATGGTCCATGACATACGGAAGAAATACATTCTCAGCAGGTATGCAAAGCACACAATTAAGGTGAGAGTTTTATTGGATCTTTAAGAGGATATTTGAAATCAGATTTGGATATTGTTCAATTTTTTAAGCATTTTGAAAGATCAGTCGATGATAAGCGCACCAATGAGAATAAGTCTAATTTTGACATGACTCAAAGAATACCTATTTTGAAGGTTAAACTTCCTTTATTGATTCATGCTAGGGAAGTATACACCCCAACGATATTTGACATGTTCCAAAGTGAATGGGAAAGGTCATTACTGATTTCAGTAAATGACTCCTATAATGAAGGAGAGTTATGTACCTATAATGTTAGCACGCTTGGAAGTGTTAAGGAGCATGTCTTGACTGTTAAGAGATCAATAACTCAAGTTTCTTGCAGCTGTAAATTGTTTGAATTTTTGGGTATACTATGTAGGCATGCTTTAAAGATCCTGGACACATTGAATATAAAGGATAGGATTCCCATACAATATATACTAAAGAGGTGGACAAAAGATGTTACAAATATAAACGAGATGGATGCCATTCTAGAAGAAAAAGACATTTATGCCATACTTTTATCCAAATTCAAGTGAAGGGCATGAATTGGTTGTAAATGGTGCGAATGAGATGATTGCAAAGCTAAAAGATATAAAGAAGAGAAAGGAATCACCTGATAAGTCAGCTCCAAGCAATACAACTCAAAATGAGCTCAGTGAATTTATTGACAATACAAATTTTACAAAGGTGACTGGATTAAAAAGAAAGGAACCAGCTCGTCGTTCTAATACTCGGCCAAAGAGTTTCACGGAAAAGTCCAAGAAGAAAAGTAGGACTTCATTGCCAAAATCTCTTCAATGCCAAACTGATCAGCAGTTAGATCACCTTCCACATTTTCAAGTCCCTTATACACCTTTATTAGATACATCAAACGCTATGGTATCTCACGACATCTCATTTATTTCTTGTTTATTATAATAATGTGAAACTTATGTTTTAAATTATAGGATGTGACAGAAGGAAGCTTTCGTCCATTGTGTCCTTCTCAGTTGTCTCAAGGATATTCATCTAATGAAAGTTTGACTCAACTCTTAAGAGTTAGTAATAGAACTTTTAATACTTTGCATATATATGTATATTTCTAATAAGTGATGTTATTCACCACATAATATATTAATTGCAGGATGTTTCATTTCCTGATTTTAACAAGTATTCTCAACATTGATCTCAAAGTTGAGATGTATACTTCTTTGGCATTGTTATTTTCTTTCATAGATTTTATTCCAGTGTGCAATTGACTTTCGCATCTGTGAATTAAGTTTTTTCTTTCCATTTTTTGGTGTCAAGGCCATAACCCACTCGTGGTTGTTGAAATTTGTTTTCCCACCAATTATTTATTTTTTTGGAACAATCTAGTGGCAGTTTATTGTCATCATATTGACAATTGATAATTTAATTGAGGTTTGATTATTGTTCGTTGAGGCAATAACAGAGAGTTCTTTTAGTGTATTTAATGCAAGTTTGTTGTGTTGCTTATTTGATTGTCAAAAGTGATTTATTTTGGTGCATTTTGGCTTGTATTGCTTAGGCCTTAAAAAGTGATAGAGTGAAAGTAAATGGGGCAGAAGCTATTTGCACTTAGTAGTTGAGAAACAAGAATTTCCTGTTCTTGGTTAACTGAGAAAAACTAAGTTACTATATAGTTTTTCATCTCGTATTAACGAACACCTATATAATAATCGAAGAAATCTCTTACTCTCTCTTAACCGTCTGATAGCGAGAAACAAGAACAATAATATTATTTAGTTGTAGAAATTTCTTGTGGCCATTGTAATGCACTTCAATTTTGTTAAGAAGTTGAATGTATAGAGAAATCTGGGAAGAGTTATTTAAATAATATGAAAATAATGGAGTTTTTAGTTTGAAAGAAATTGGGTTTGTGATGGAAATTATTTGATTTTTGGGAAGAACGTGAAAAAAAAAAAGTTGAGCAGGGATTGATCAAAAAGATCCTCTCCTATATACGTGTCATTAATATGGAACAAAAAGAAATTAAAAAAAGATATTGTAGCTTAACCATGGTTTAAGAGGTTGTTTTGGTTAAATAATTATTGACCCTTAGATCATTAAGTGACAAATGGCAGCAGATTAAAGGGGGACTGGACCAATTGGATGGAAAGGCATTGGACAGGAGCCGAATCCTCTATTTGTACTCGCAAGTTTAAGAATATTTATTATCCACAAAATGGTTCTTTGGTTTTATTCCTTAATATTTCATGTGAATTAACGATAGATAAAGTTTCATAGCTAAACAATATTTTTTTTATGTTAACTCATATTTTAGCTATGGATTAGCTATGAATTGATTGGAATTACTAATAATTTTATAGCTAATTTCATATTTTCTAATAGTGAATTTTCATCTAACTAGGGATGATTCAGTGAAATCTGAAGAACATTGGAAAGATAATTAGTTAATTAATTTCCTTTCGTAAGTATGTTCCAGTTTTATAAAATGTAAAGGGACAAAATTTATGAGAATTTTAACAATGCGATGATCTAGTGTAGAAGGAGAAATAGAATATCAATCTCCGATCCTTACATTTTGATGAAGTTGGAATAAAGATAACATTAACGCATAAACATATATAGTATCAAAACTTATTATATAAGATGAGTCGAATGATTCGAAGCACCTACATACTATTGAAAAATTAAAATGATGGTATTATTTAGCACAATTCATGTCATAAACAAAGTAGAGGGCCGATATATCATTAATCATTGGACATTATATTGATAGTATATTATAACATTAATACATCGATCCTCTTATTATATTTGAGCTTCTACTGCCGAGATCATGATGAATATCAAAACTTAAAAATAAGTAAATCAAGAAATCGAGATAAGTATACATAAAGATAAGTAAATCAAGAATTGGAGTTTTTTTCTTCTTAAGAACGGAAGGTTTATTCATACAAAAGTGGAACTAGTCTATGAGATACAATTGCATCCACATGAAGAGAGCATTTATTACCAGAGAAGGAGATGTTACAAAAACATAAGGTTGATTTCAGTTCATATGTGGATCCTTCATTGTCCTTGTGTATTTAGCTAATAAGCTTGCTACTATCTTAGCCTCCCTCGGAATGAGCTTTAGAGATGATCCTTATAGCTGTAGGATTAGCGACCTGCAATCCGCGTAGATATTGATGTGTATGAAGAAGAAGAAATTAAACAATTAATGAAAGAGATAGTGTCAACTGCTTGTGAGAGGAATTAGGTTTATGTATGCTGAACTGTAAGCAAAAACGTAGAGAACACAATATTTTTCGTGGAAAACTTTCTTGCTTAAGGGAATAAAACCTACAACCCACAGTGTATAGGATTTCAGCAATCAAATTGCACTAAATTCAAGAGCGATTTTAGATTACAAAGGATAATATTCTAAAGGAAAGTCTCCAAGAAGATCAATTTTTTCTTCTTGTTACAAACCTCACAACTTTAATTACTCGATCACTTCAATTTAGGATTTGTTATAATTCAATAATAACCCTAGAACAATATCAATTACATCAAAAAGAAAACACACTTTACTTCGTTATAGTGTTGAACTTGATTCTTCAATATCCTTGTCTATCATCAAAACTTCATACTTCTGAATTTGTGCATTCCATCAATTCAAAATACCAAACATAAATACTGCAGGTTCAAATCATCTCCTTTTTGTTTCCTCTGAGCTAAGGAAAAAAGGCGCAACCCCTGTATAAAAAATAATAATTAAAACAACATTTAATTGAATACAAGTGAAACATATGAAGTAGTAACAAAATTACTTGAATCTGCAGAAATGGAATGTTGGTTTGATTCCTTGAATAACAAAAAGTCCATCTACATTTATGTCGCAGATGACTTTCACATATTTTACTAAGTGAATTGGAATAAAGTAATATCCTCTATAAACACCACCAATATAAATCATTAACAACGTAGACGATACAAATTCATCTTCATCATTAAGAATATTCGTAGCGTCTCGATGGATGAAATTTTTGGAATTCACTTCCTTCCATCCACCTTCACCTTCAATTCTAATTATGCTTTGAAATTTGTCAGGTCGAGCCCGATTAACCCAAACTCTAATTTCAATATCATGGTTGCACCTGTTTTCTATAACAGTGAGTACTTTAGCTCCCATTACTATTTAATTTATTTGATCAGTGCTCGTGTGCTTAGTGTATGCATTTAGTGATGAATTATGGATAGTGAAAACTTTAGTATATAATGCCAAATAGTGAGAGAGATGTATAGGAACTTTCTTGGAGTTGTGTTGAGTATCACATCACAATAATGCAAGAGTTTATTTTGTGAAAAAGAGAAAAGTTTAGACTCCATCACGTGAAATTCAATAATTATCATACAGTATTATTCTATCAACTCTGACTTTATGTGTATACGTACAAATATGTGTATGAATTATGAAAGGTGCATATCTTGCAATAACAAGATAGTTATAAATTTATAATTAAGTTTATGTGATAAGAGTATTAATTAGTAACTCGATAAAAATAATAGAATTGATTTTGCTAGCTATTATATATAGGGGTGTAAAATTGACTTGAATATTTTATATAAACTCTCAGAATTGAGAATTTTTAGTTACGTATATAAATTAAAAGATATATACGAAAAATGCAAATTAATTCCAATGAAAATATTGAAATTTCAAGATAACGTTTAGGAAACATCCAAGCAACTTAAGCAGTGAGTTATCTTACAAAACTAATCATTAGTAGTTTGTGCACTTTTTTTCATTCTTCTTGTTGAAGCAGTATTTATAAGGCAAAGAAAGAACAAAGAGTAAGTTGAAAATTTTGCTCTTGCATATCTTTAATTTGAGTCCGGAGCCAAAAGGGCAAAAAAAATTGCCAAAAATTCCAAAAGGGCATATCATATTTTTTTAAAACCAAAACGGCAAAATCGCTCCTGCCGGAGCGATTTTCCTCTGACACATATTAACGCCGTGTACTCCGTTAAAATTGTTTTTGTCTAATTTTTTTTTTCTTTTTTTTTTCACTAAAATCGCTGGCACAACAGCGATTTTTTAACTCTAATTTTTTTCCTCCACCTAATATCCCTGCTATGGCAGCGTTTCCATAGAAAAAAAAAATTTGACAGCTTTTTGTAAAAATTGTTTTTTGGAAAATCGCTGCCCTGGCAGCGTTTTCCTTAATTTTTATTTTTTCAAAAATCTTTTCTTAATTAGACTGCCTTTTCAGATTTTTTTGTTAAAAAAATTATTTTTTAATAAAAACACTGCCTTGTTTTCAAAACGAAAAACAATTTTAAAAAAATAAAAATTGAAGAGAAACGAATTTAAAAAAAAAAAGAAAAAAATTTAACTAAAAAAGAAAAAAAAAATTAACTAAAAAGCTGTCAAGGCAGCAATTTTCAGCCTTTTGACAGCTTTTTAACAAAAAAATAAAATAAAATATATATCTTGAAATCGCTGCCAAGTGGAACTAGTTTTTTTTTTTTTAAAATCGCTGCCTTGGCAACAATAATTGTAGAAATATTCTATTATTTTATTTTGTTTTTGAAATTTCTGTCAACTAGTCAACATCTGATGGTAATTTTTTTTTATTTTTTTTAAATCGCTGCCCGTGAAGCGTTTTTACGATTTTCTTTAAAAAAAATGACAATTAATGCTATGGCAGCATTTTTATAAAAATAAACTTATTTTATTTTTTTGGAAATCGCTGCCCTGGCAGCGATTTTCGTTAATATATATTTTTTTTAAAACGTTATTATCAATTTTGTGGAAATTTTATTTTTTTCTAGAAATCGCTGCCTTGGCAGCGATTTTGGTGGCTTTGTGTAACCTGTTTCCTTACAAACACTGCATTTTCTGGCACACTCCAATTCAAATAATGATCATGAATATATAAGACTATTTTTATTTATGATATCGCTGCGTTAGAAGCGATATTTTTTTTTTAAAAAAAGTTAGAGGGGAATTTCGCCGCCCTGGCAGCGATTTCCTTTATGGAAAAAAATTCTTCACTAAAATCGCTGCCAAGGCAGAGATTTCAAAAATTAGATGTTGACCAGTTGATAGAAATTTAAAAAAAAAAAAATCAAAAGAATTTTTTTTTTAAAAAAAATAGTTCCACCAAAAGCACTGCCAAGGCAGCGATTTCTAAAAAAAAATAAAAAATTTTCCACAAAAATTATAATAACGCTGCAACAACAGCAATTTAAAAACAAATAATTAATGCCAAAAAAATAAAATAAATTTGCTTTTATAGTAACGCTGTAATAGCAGTGATTTTAATTTTAATTTTTTAAAATAGCAAACACGCTGCACAGG